CTGACCGGCTTTCTCCTCTGCCAGAGGATCCAACACACAACCAGGTGGTGATTGGTTGACAGCTCCTCGCCTCTTCACCTGAGACACGCAGTCAAAGTTCAGATGACATAACAACAACTGAACACCACTCGGGTTCAGATCAGGGGGCCATTATTATTTATTGTTTACTTGGTTGGGACATCCATCCATCTTCTTCCCCTTAATCCATTTCTGGGTCGGGGGGGTGGCCAGAGATGCCACCCAGCACGCAAAGCACCAGCCCCTCACTGATCCTCCTGCAGGTGGTGAGCCCACAGAAGCTGAGATCTTTCAGTGGGAGCTTCAGGCAAAGTGGGGTTAAGTGTCTTGCCCAAGGACACAACGACAGCAATCATCAGTGGGAGTCGTGAAGTAGGTCTTACGGTGGGCTCGAACCCACGACCTTCAGACCGAGATTGTGGCCAGGTTTTAGTTTCCCTTATATATTAGATATCCGCAGGCGAACGTAGCAATATCATCAAATATGTTTGGTTTTATTCATGCTGTAGAATCATGTTTCAGTTGAAGAGGAGGTGCCGACATGAATTGCCCACATGTTTTCCCAGATCAGTATTTCATAGTGTTTAGATTCACAAACCATATTACTCTAATGTCTAAAAGTCCTTTCTACATGGCCAACCTCATGAATATGTATTTGAATATTTTCCCCACTAGACACTTTTGTGAGACTATAATTATACCATGGTCAATATGCACAGACACATTTGGAACTTTGTGAGTTTTGGTTTAATTACAGACAAATTAGCTCTATACTCAGCTGCTTTCCACCTCATTTTAAACTATAGGCTCTTTAGAATGTTATGATGTCACATGAACACAAACTATTCAATGTCTGCAACACTTTCATTAAAATACTTTTGGTGCAATAACCTTGCTCTATTCATTTTACACAAAGGCTAAATGGCTTCATCAGGGCTGGGAATGTTCTCAATTGTGCTGACATTGCATTTTATACAATAATACAATCTGCCCGTGCATGGCTATATTAGCATGATATAGCGCTCAGCATTATCAGTCTAATATTCTGTTGTAGTAAATGTATTGTACGAGTCATTTCAAAGCCAATCAGGCATCTCTCTCTCCTTTACTCCTGCGCTGTTATCACTGCTCTAATGATGCATGAAAGTGCCGAGCTCACTCACCTTCACCTTGTGGCAGGACTCGTATGCAGTATTAAACATAGAGGATGGGCTGGATGACCACTGAACCAAGGAGTGTTTATACCATTAAGTTTGTGTTGACTGCCTTAAATTTACTTCAAACACTCGATAGTCTCTTTCTAGTCTATTTCTATCAAAGCTTGATTATGCCTCTAACATCTTTTGTGTAAGCTGTGAAAATGGGGCCGAGCGTCAAAATTAGACGGCAGAACTCTTAATAAAAAGTGTAAATTTTGGACAAAGCAAATTGCAAGCCTGTCCCTTGGGTGTGTCTTCCTGATGAGGTTCACCTGTGAGCTTTTAACATGAGGTGGCTCCACCCACATGGGTTTGCCCACAATAAAAAAAGGGATTACTGAAACACCCTCAAAAGTTACAAAACACATTTATAAAATGTGGCATTAAAAAGGGGACAAAGTAACCTGCTTTGTCACAGCTGAGGAAAATCCTTGTGACTGTTTGTACCCCACAAATTGTAAATTTCAAATCAGAAATTATTGAAATTAAGGAAAAAGTTTTGACCAGGGGTCTCAAACTCAAATTAGCTGGGAGCTGCATGACGTCCAGTCTGGGTGAAGCTGGCCGCATTAAGGATCATGACTGTGTTTTTAAACACCTCGCTGGAGTCTTGCCACGTCCCTGCCTGCTTCAAGACCTCTACCATCGTCCCTGCCCCTAAGAAGACCCGGATCACTGAACTTAATGACTACAGAACCGCGGCTCTGACATCAGATCTGTAGATGATGCCATTAACCCTTGTATTATGTTAAGGGTCAATTTGACCCATTTCAGTTTTTGAGTTGATCAAAGTACTGGTTATTCTTTCTTTTTCTTGCTGAAATTTGGTGACTTTTCCTCATCTAGGGTCATGAACTGGTGTGTAAAATCTGGACACGTTGATGTGTAGTGGAATGTCTGTGCAGAGTTTGTATACAAAGATGATGTTGCGGGTCATTTTGACCCAGACGCTTCAATGTGGGTAAATTGTTGTTCAGATCCAAAAAAAACATGTTTCTTTGACATTGTATTTTGATTGCCTCTGAGACCCAGAGCCAGGTGTGTGAATAGAGGGAACTTTCTCACACTTGTCCTTGTCACTGTTGTTATGTCATCTCTTTTGCCTAGCGTACATTGGACTGGCAACTGAATATATCCGTCGCCTTTGAGTTGCTGCCCCGCACACATAGAAAATCTGGCGAAAACGGGCAACTCCTAGTAGCAGGCCAGTCTCGGGAATAACAGCGGGTACATTGACAGCAACTGGCCTCAACTACAGTGTGTTTTCTGACATAAACTATAGAGGGCGCAATACACGCAATGCACACACGTTGTTGGAGCACGCACATTGGGTGATATCTCCGGATCTGAGGACAAAAGTAGAACACGGGCAACTGACTGAATCCGGAGATCAACTTTATCTCCAGTTGTAAGAGCGCTCACATCGACCGATTTTGGCAACTGATCATCTCCATCATTGCCAAAAGCCGCCTTGCAACTAGTTGTCTCCAGTTACTCTGTCGATGTGCGCTAGGCTTTAGACAAACTCACCAAAAATGAGCTCCAGAAGGATGATGACATCTGAGGAGGCTTTATTACAGATTTTAAACTGGGATAGTCATGTAGAGGAAGAGATTTCAGAAACAGAGGATTTTTCAGAGACAGAGGACAATGTTATTGCTGATCCAGATTATCAATTTTCCTACGATAAGGAGGATTCAGAGGACGAATCTTTGGTCAAGGAAAGAGGAAGGGAGGACTGACGGAAGGTAGGAAGGAAAGACGGGAGAAAGGAAGGAAGGAAGGAAGGAAGAGAAAAGAAGGGAATAGATGAGGATGAACAGAGAGAAGGAAAACAGAATGAGAAAAAGGAAGGAGAAAGCACGGCAGGAGGAAAGAATTGTCATTTTGACCCGAGAGGCGGACAAGAAGATTAGACTAAATATTTCTTAAATATATCGTTGGAATGAAAAATGCATTGAATGTCACTTTTCTAAATATTTATATAACCTAAAATAAAGTTGTTATTGGTTTAACCTGTTTTCTTGACTGTTTTGAGTGCATTTACACAGTATGGGTCAAAATGACCCGCAACATAATCAATGTCATTTTTTTTCAACATAATACAAGGGTTAATCTGGCCCTCCACCACATCCTACAGCATCTGGACTCCCCGGGGACCTACGCCAGGTTCCTGTTCGTGGACTTCAGCTCTGCCTTCAACACCATCCTGCCATCCCCGCTCCAGGACAAGCTCTCCCAGCTCCACGTGCCCGATTACATCTGCAGGTGGATCACTGACTTCCTGATGGACAGGTGCAGCGAGTGCGTCTGGGAAAGAATGACTCGGACACTCAGATTATAAATACAGGAGCCCCACAGGGCTGTGTTCTTTTTCCCCTGCTCTTCTCCCTGTACACCAACCACGACACTATGTAGCTCATCAAGTTTGTGGATGAAACTCACCCTCATTGGACTCATCTCTAACAACAATGAGTCTGCCTACAGGAGGGAGATGATTGTGGACTCCAGGAAGACCACAGTCCTCCCGCCCCACCCTCCCTGATAGACTCCCCCATCATCTCTGTGGAGTCATTTCGTTTCCTGGGCACTACTATCACCCAGGACCTCAAGTGGGAGCCGACCATCAGCTCCCTAATTAAGAAGGCCCAGCAGAGGGTGTACTTCCTGAAGCAGTCTATCCTCAACTCCTCCATCCCCGTGTGGTTCGCTGGAGCCACTGTCAGGGACAAGCAGAGAGTGCTCAGCCGCAGCCTCCCATCGCTGCAGGAGGATCAGTGAAGGGAATTGGGTGGTATCTCTGACTACCAACCTCCAAGACCCAGAGACACAGTAACACAATAAACATATTTATTATAAATTATAATAGTATTAATGCATTCTTTAGTATAGGGTAGTGGGGTCATATTGATTCACTGTTGCTCACCTGTACACAGCCATGCAAGCAAGAAGCAATCCCCACAGAGAATAGCAAATGATCAAAGATTTACGACCCCTGCTTTTTCCCTCCTGATGAAACTGTATTTGAATGACACAAACGTCCTACCTCTAACGTTAATCTTTTTGATATGTCTAACACTCTGAGCCGGCAACAGCAAGAACTCGCAAGAACCCCTGCACATCGCCAACTTAATTTCAATTGTTATCTCCCAAAATCCAGCTCTGCAGGATCTCAAAAATACAATCATCCTTATCAAAAAGAATAACACAATCTTGGTCCAACTGAGACAAATCCTGCCTGCCATTTTCGCTCTCTCCTCTGTGACTCACACTTCGCTCAGATATCACACTTTGAATGATCTGAAGAACAGCCAGTGTTTCCTGTGAAGCTCTCGAGTGAAGGCAGAGACCCAAGGGGGCCAAAGTCCTGCCAGCTTCTCTGACCTCATCTGACAGTTGAGTTTGTGAGTCTTTAAGGACATGTCATTGGCAGATATCTGAAAACCAATGTCCACTTGCTGTTTGAATGCACTTTTGACAAATGTAAATGACATTTATCAACACGTACATTTATAAACACTCTTTGCCAACACATTCTCTGATTGTGTTTGCAAATTCAACGATTGTGTAAAGTCCTCAGAGATAACTAAGATGATTTAGGGCTTTACAAGAATAGATTGAAGTTATACAATAATTAGGGTTTTAAAGGTAACAATATAAATAATTTAAGAGAACTGTTCTTTGACCCACTCTGGGAAAATGTCAGTGTTGCAACGCACAGTTTCAGACCACAGAGAGACGAAGAAGGCTCTAAAAAAAACAAGACAATGGGCTGTTTGGAAAATGGTCCCCTCAAACATGAGGTGCTACATCTCAATTGGCCATTCCTCTTCATACATAGATAGTTGTAATATTTCTGACCCTCCTGTCCCCCATTGCATATAATATTGTCCCTCTCAAGGCGATGTGTTTTCCTCTATTGCTGTGGCTGTCTCCACTCTTATCTTTCTCACATACCTACTGGCCAGGGCCGAAGATAACAATGGACTCCATCCATCCATCCATTTTCTTCCACTTCATCCGTTGCCGGGTCGCGGAGGCAGCAGTCTAAGCAGAGACGCCCAGACTTCCCTATCCACACACACTTCCTCCAGCTCGTCCGGGGGGACCCCAAGGCGCTCCCAGGCCAGCTGAGAGACATAGTCTCTCCAGCGTGTCCTGGGTCTTCCCCGGGAACTCCTCCCGGTGGGACGTGCCCGGAACACCTCCCCAGGGAGGCGTCCAGGAGGCATCCGGAACAGATGCCCGAGCCACCTCAACTGGTTCCTCTCGACGTGGAGTAGCAGCGGCTCTACTCCGAGCTCCTCCCGTGTGACTGAGCTCCTCACCCTATCTCTAAGGGAGCGCCCAGCAACTCTGCGGTGGAAGCTCATTTCGACCGCTTGTATCCGCGATCTCGTTCTTTCGGTCATTACCCAAAGCTCATGACCATATGTAACCCGCATTTCAGTTTAGTTTTATTGTTGCGGGTCAGCTTCCGCCACATCTGATGGTTTCCCTTATGATGCGCGCTCCCCCACTTGACGCTCTCCTCCGCTGTACCTGTGGCATGTCATAGCTGCGGGCTAGCGTTACAAAGCTGCACAACTTTGTTATCGGAGCGTTTTTCCCTCTATCATAAAGGTGAGCCTTTCGCCAACTGTTCGGCATCATGCAAATTAAATGTCCATGTTGCAAACCGCATGATCAGTCGCTAATCTCTGCAAACTCTTTGTAGACTCCACGCTTCCATGTGGGCGCGTGTGGAGTAGCGTCAAAGCCCACGCAATTCAAGGTACGCTGTTTACTTTATTCATAAACAAGCCAACCCGAATTGTAGGCAGTAAGTTAATGTGTAGATAAATATCTTTGTTTACCGCAGTGAGTGGTTGTTAATACCGGTTAGACACTTTTGTTTGTAAATAACCGCAAATCCCCAGTGATGTCCGGATTGACAACACCTGATTATTGTAGCTACGTCAGAGACTCTAAAGTTTGTTGCGCAACACTTAGTTATCATGCAAATTATGTTCCCATGATAACTGAAACATTTAGAGAAGATAATTATTATTAGTGCACTATGATCCTGAATTGAAATACATAATTTATTGATTACCAAAGTGCGTTTGATGCACTGGAAATGACATTTTTGGTTGATCCCTTTTGGATCTACACCCGTGAATGGATGATTCCACATACTTGTATGTGTATTATTTAATTGTACTACATTATGTAATGTATGCAGCTATCTTTTGAAATATTGACTATGTAAATGTAAATATTTATTGAAGTACTCTCATTGAAGTGTTTAAGCATTAGTGTATACTGAGACTTTTCTATTGATGAAATGTTGACATGTTAATTTAATTGAATGTGATTTGAAATTTGATGATTTAATCTGCAGTTTTAGATTGTAAATATCTTGTATCTTATAGATACATTGAAGTTAAGTTTAGTCAACTAAGAGCATTACAAAGCTAACTCTTATTTTCCTAATATTCATTTGTCTTTTTCTGGCCTCTTGTCAGGTCCGGTTTTTTGTACTGAGCTGTTTCCACACCTCATCCTGATATCTCCCTGTCCCTGCCATGGACTCCTGGTAGGATAAAAGACTATCAATTAATTTTTTTCCTTTACGTCCAACGGACAATATTGGACTATCGTGGACTATTTTGGTTTCTTCTCTTCTCTCCCTTTGAATGGGAGCACGGACTCTAACACAGAGCGTGTGAATCGTGAGAACAGTATCGTTATCAGCGAGGTTGTGGCTGTCAGTATTGTTATATTGTTATTCTGTACAATTTTGTGTTATTTACTTTCTCCTTTTAATACAATACCAAACTCAAAACTCAATCAGTTGTTTTGTATCACTCACTCTACACCTCACAACCCAGGCTCCTTCCCGAACCAGTCTTTTGAATAGTACTCAGAGTTGAATCGCAGTCACATCTGGCCTAAACAACCTGTTGTTACACATAGGTGAGGGAGGGAACGAAGATTGACCGGTAAATCGAAAGCTTCGCCTTTCGGCTCAGCTCCCTCTTTACCACAACGGTCCGATACAGCGACCGCATCACTGCGCACGCTGCACCGATCCGCCTGTCAATCTCACGCTCCATCCTTCCCTCACTCGTGAACAAGACCCCGAGATACTTGAACTCCTCCACTTGAGGAAGGGCCTCTCCACCCACCTGGAGAGGGCAAGGCACCTTTTTCCGGTCGAGCACCATGGCCTCAGATTTGGACAATGGACTCTCTACAACAAAACCTTCACTTTTACAGCTATTCCCAGCTTTGGACTGCCCTCCCCCCCGCTCCTCTCCCCCTCCCTACTCCCTTCTCCCTCCCTCCTCACTCCCTCTAAGTCTTTCTTGCTAATCCCCCCCTCACCTAGCCCCCTATGACGGCCCACATTGGCGAAGGGTGGCCAGAGTTTACTTCCAAAATAAAAACGTCTGTGTTTTATCCAAAACATAATGTGTCTCATCCAAACTGTCTTGTGAAACTGTATGTTATTGCTCTCTGCTGTTTATTCTACTGTTTGTCGCATGGCGCCGTAAAGATGGCGCCGTGGCAAGAGCTCTGGTGTGTGTCGTCTTCTCTGTCTGGTGCACACTGGGGTAGTCTTGCACAGTTTTTCCAATGTGGTTTTACTGCAAATGGCAAATAAATGAATCTGAAATCTGAATCTGAATCTGAAGTGTCCAGAGAGGATTCCAGGATGGATCTCCTGATGACCATGTCTAGCTTTTGTCCCTCTATGTGGTGCTTCTTAGAGTGATGCTTGAACCAAATGTCTGGGATCAAGGTAGAGAAGATATTTGGTATTTTTGCCCTTTGCTGTCTGGTTTATCTTTGTGGTAAAATTTTCTGTACTGAGGAGAATAAAATGTCACATTTACAAATGTATTGTACAATAAAAATTGTTTATGAATGAAACATTTTGAACCTTCGTTATTATCTTACCTCCCTATTGGATCAGATGTTATTATGGCTCTATTGAGGGAGGTCATTTGAATCAGTTCTAAATATTTTTTGTGGATCTGAAAAATTAGAATGACTGACAACTCTTTCAGGAATTTTCAGAATGCCCATGTGCATTTGATTTTCAGTGAAATAATTTGCAAATAGCCGAAAATAGTGACAGTGAAGCCATTCAGCTACGCATAATGCTTGTACAGAGTAGCCAAAACATTATGGCAGTCCTCCCATGCGACCTTTACCTGCAAAATCCTTATCTCCACTCTTAAATTGCCTAACATTTCATCCCTGGTGTTTTTGCTTGTATCTCTCCCCACTGTCTCTCTTATCTAGGCTGGAGTCATTGGGTTTTTGGCTGCCAGACCGACCAACAGATGCTTATTTGTTAAACCTGAGAAAGCACAGCAAGACTTCAGAGTGCCGCCCCTGATGCCTGGCCCTTTTCCCTGTACAAGTCCACTTTATGTCGGTGCGATGAGCTGCTGATAAGAGAAGGGGATATAGAATTGAGCAAATTTCAGCCCCAAATCCATCTGCAGAAGAGAAAAGCCCGAGGGGAAGCCTGGGGAGAATAGAGGGCTGTGTTCACACCCTACAGACTCATGACTAATCCAGGACATTACAAGAAATGAGTCAGATGTTGTTCTCATTTGCTATGGAAGGTATCTTTGATTTTTTTTTCTGTGATTGTGATGAATTATGGTTGCTTTTCTTTGAGCTGAGATTGTGGAGAGAGAGACAGCGGCTGCGATTGTCACTGTGACAGAGAAAATGAGCCACTGAAACAGACAAACTCCGTAACGTCCTTCCTCAAAGTCCTTTCTCAAATTGTGAAAAACCTCTGACGATTATTCCATGCAAAATCAACAATATATCCTCCATTTTTTTCCTGAAGTTAAACCGCATACACTTCCTCTTCACTAGAGTGCGTCCAGTTCAATAGAGGGAACAGTTAAATATAGACGGCATCAAATCAAACCTCGTGTCAAATGAGACAGCAGTCAAATATTTACTTTTCACCCATTATATGCATTGTCAACTTTAGAAGAAGGTGTGACATTATTCACAAATGGATCCACACTTCGAATGGTTGTACCCTGTTGGTGCGTTTAATAAATCAAACTTTTCATAGTCCCGGCTCAGTGGGGGTGAACACAGAGCCTTATTAAAAAGCCATTGTCACTTCGCTTGATGATCCCAGCCAAAAGGACTGAATTAGATGGCTGATGCCCCACTGCTCTCGGCTTCTTGTTTTATTCACAGATCAGCATCGTGCGTCTGTGCTCTCAGGTGAAAGTAATGGCAAACTGAGAAAGGCCAAAGTAGAGACACGGTTGATCATTTCAAACTCAGCCGGGTATGGCATTCATTATATATATATTTTTTTCATTTGTGTTCCAATGCAAACTGTCTGCTCCAGCCTTGACAATTGACATAGATTACATCATTGTTACCCAACCTGTTTGAGCTGTGACTTATCTTTTTCATTGAAAACAGTCAGGTGGCAGACCACCAGCTAAAACTTATACAAAAATGAAACTCTGCAGCCTTTATCAACACCAAAAGCCATTCTCATCAAAGTGTATTATATTAGAATTCAAACAAGCTCAAACTAGTATTTATAATCTCCTCACATTATTTTCTTTCAACTTTATTTTGACAAAATAGGGGATATTGGACCATTTCCAAAGGCACACCATACAAAATCTCAAGGCACACTAACATTCCACAGCACACTGGTTGAAAACACTGTATTACATTACATCAGGGGTCTCCAACCTTTTTTAATCAGAGAGCTACTTTTATACAAACAAACAGGCAGAGAGCTACTCATTTTTGCAGTCATAATGAAAATGGATCTAATAATTACGACTAAACTTGGAGAACACATATAAAACACACCATATTACTGTATAACCCTATATTTATACTTATAATAGTTATGTAATGGGTCAAAAAGTGTTTAAGTGTATTTGTTAAAGTCTAATTTCTTTGGCGAGCTACCTGTAAGGGGCTGGCGAGCTACTGGTGGCTCCCGAGCTACAGGTTGGAGACCCCTGCATTACATAATCCCACTTCACCCTGCACATGTTTCAGAACAGTAGTAGATACTCATCCATGAACTTATTTCAATATGAATAAAAATAATGAATATATTAAAAGTGCATTCACTTAACAATTCCAGATATAGTAGAATATTGTAAACAATTTTAAGGTCTTGCTTGGTATTGGTAAGCATCCAAATCCACCTGAGAATATGCTCACTCCCAAATCCCAACCAGGACCAGGGTCTACAACAACGACAAACCCTGGTTCAATGCTGACCTCTGGCAGCTCAGAAAACTGAAAGAGTCCACCTTCAGAGAGGGAGACAGCTGCGGCTACAAGGTTGCTAAATACTGTACCACCAATACAGTGTCACAGTACGTGGTCCAGTCATGAACAGGGACGTGATTGGGTCGTGATGGGTGATGGATGGGTCTCCATCCATCACCATCACGACCCAACAAGGGACCACCATTGACAGTCACATTCTGGTTGTTTGATCTGCTCTGCTCTACGCAGCTGTTGGCTTATTTAAATCTACAATTCAAGCTAATAATGATAATGATAGCACTTTTTAAAAAAATGTTTAAAAAGTATTTGCAAACATGATTTGTACAAGGATTCACACCTTCAGATTCTAGGGAAGATCCTTAATGATCCATGTAAAATGATTGCATGTCCGGGCACACAAGCTGCTGTCCTTGGAAGGGATTTTGAGATGTCATTTTTCTTCCTTTCAACATTAATCTCAAAAGTGGGGATATATTTTTACATTCTGCCAACGGACACCTCTTTATTCTCTCCCGACCCAAGAAATTGTCTTATGCCGGTTTGAATATTGATATAAGGTCATTCAGGGAAAAGCAGAGGTTATTTCAGTTTAGTTTTCTCTGTGATGTCTCTTTTCAATGCCTTCAGTCTTTGTATTTTGCTGATGAAAGGCAATATTTCACTAGTATTGTCACACTATTTTGATATTAGGAAAAAAAGACAGTGATTTCTCTATGATTATTTATGAATGCTCTTTTTGGATAATAATCTGTCATCTCTTCAAATTTCCTGTGTTTGTAAATGTATTAGGTTTCTCAATCTAGTATTTGATTTTCTAGTTTTGAGACTAGTTTTTATTCAATTTATTATTTTTGATTCTATCGACACCTCAATGCACCAATAATGCATACAATCATGACACATAACATCAGATGTAGTCATACACTAAAGAAAGGGATGCTTGACAACTTTCAAACATTTGAGTTCTGTATTCCAACAGCTCTAATTAAAAAACAAAATTACAATTTTGTTCAATGGAGGAAAATGAACGAAAGGATTTCTTGGTTCAATAACAATTTATCTTAAAATGTGCCCATTTTGCTGCTTTGGAGCTGTCATATCATGTAATTTTCTACCCCTTTATTAGTCCGTTTCTGGGTCGGATGCCTCATTGCACCAGTCCCTCGCTGATCCTCCTGCAGGTGGTGAGTCCACAGGACATCAAGGCCATCATTGCCTAGATGGCCTCAATCTTTCAGTGGGGGCTTCGGGCAATGTGGGGTTAAGTGTCTTGCCCAGGGACGCAACGACAGCAGGCATCAGTGGGAGCAGGTGGCCTGGGTCATGGTGGGCTCGAACCCACGACCATTTGGTCAAAAGAACAGTGTTCTACCAACTGAGCTACTGTCGCCCCCTAAGCGCTTTGGAGTTGAAAAGGTTCAAATGTTTTAAAAAATGTACTTAACTATTACCTGTACTGTAGTATGCATCAGGTGTCCCATACACCATCATAGTTCTCTCTTCTGTCCTCACTCTCACCTCATTATCTTTCTACAAACTCAAGTCTCAATGTCTTTTTCACCCTTCTCCAAAATTTCATTTCTGCCTTGATGGATATACTAAGCAGCTTTGGGCTGGTGACGCTGTCTGCCACTCTGAACATCACATTGATTTCGGTGAAGATGAAACTGTGATTGAATGGCGCTCGCATG